GTGACAAATGATTGTCTGGTCTCTGCTTGAAGACTTACAAATAGTATCAGTTCCTTCTGTCGGAGAGGTAGTATGACACCATGAATAGGATATTAGACCTGGAGTGAGGAAGAGAGAGATTCAAGTCCTCCAGCAGACATCTGTATAACTCTGGACATGTCACATAACCTACCTGTGCCTCAGTTTCTTCATCTATAAAATGAGGGGGGGAGATTTGACTTCCCTTCTAGCTCTAATCTTTAATACCTTGCTAATAACATTTATTATCTTGATTATTGGTTTTTGTGGAATCACTGGAGTTTTCTGAACATACTTTAATATCTCTATAGCAGATGTTTTAACCTTTTCTATGACTATGCCTATTCCTTATATTTGTTTTTCTTGTCTTATTGTACTAGCTAGCATTTCTTTTTTTTTAACTTTTTTTTTAAGGCAGTTGGGGTTAAGTGATTTGCCCAGGGTCACACAGCTAGTAAGTATCAAGTGTTTGGTCCATGGCCAGATTTGAACTCAGGTCCTCCTGACTTCAGGACCGGCGCTTTATCCACTGTGCCACCTAGCTGCCCCCAGCTAGCATTTCTTTAAAAAAAAAATGTAATAGTATTGTAGAGTACATAGTCCTGCCCTATTTTGTAATGGGAAAAATGTTTTTCCACTACACACATTGGTTTTACATATTTTTTATTGTGTTTAGGAAAAATCCTTCTATTCCTCTAGTTTTTAAAAATACAAGCTCTTTCCTATTAAAAATACAGGAAGCATAGGTGTTATATTTTAGCAAAGCTCTGTATGCATTGATATAATCATATGATTTTATATTGGGTTTTTTTCTTGAAGATGTGATGCATCAGTTTTTGAGTTGAACCCTATAAAGTTCAGATTTTCTGTGATAAAATGTGGAACCATCTCTAAAGACAACCATGCCACATCATCCTAGTTTATCTGAAATTTTGGAAGCCTCTGATAGAGTTGATCTTAGAAAATTCATTCAGCATCACGAGTAGAAATTCACCCCTGTTGCAATGAAAATGTCTAAATTCAGCCTCTTCACTTAAATGAAGATAAAGTGCATTTAAACATCCTCTTACTGGCTCTCTTGGGACCTCTTAGCACAAAAGCTGACATTTCCTTCAAGGCATCTGAGAACTTGCCATGAACACTCCTAGCTCATACTCTGGGAAATCTTGATTTCTCTTCCCGACATTTTAGCACATAGAATTATTTTTGCCTGTTATACTTCTCCACAAATCCCACTGAAACCCACTGACCAAGATCAAAATTAGCCTAGCATGTAAAGTAACCATCAGAGTGAAAACACCTACAGTTGGTGAAAGTATACTCATGAGGATAGAAGAAAATATTATTTATATCGCCCTCCCATGCCTACTGTTTACCAGGACTAACTTATAATGATCTAAATTTTAGTATCAGTCCAGAAATTTTTTTAGCATGTAAACCACACTGATCATTTAATTATTGTAATTATCTTCAGAAGGATCGAGATATCACAAAATAGCAATGCTTTCTTAAAGGGAAGCTGATCTTAAATAATATAGTTATTATGCATCGATATTCCCCTTTAGGGAAATAACACCACGGTGTGTGTTGCCCTTTTCACTCATGCCATCTCAAGTTTGTTGTTGAGTCATTTTCAGTAGCATCCAGCTCTTCTGACCTCAGACACTTACTAGCTGTGTTACCCTGGACTAGTCACTTAACCCTACATGCCTCAGTTTTCTCATCTGTAAATTGAACTGGAGAAAGAAAGGGCAAACCATTCCAGTATCTTTGCCAAGAAAAACCCAAATGGAGTCACAAAGAGTTAGACACAACTGACATTGTTAGTTAGACAACAGCAATGCATCTTAATATTACAGGAAGAAGCTGAAACTGATCAGTGTTCAAGTATCCCTCCACAGGGAATGCCAACATTGTAAAAGTGGGGATAGTCTAGACTGTAATTCAGGCGCTCTTAACCTTTTTTGTCACATACCTCTTGGCAGTCTGGAGAAGCCTGTGGATTCCTCATAAAATGCATTGGATTGCAAAGGAAACCAAATGTTAGTTTAAAAAAAAAAGAAGTGGGGGGCAGCTAGGTGGCACAGTGGATATAGCACCACCCATGGAATCAGGAGGATCTGAGTTCAAATCCAGCCTGAGGCACTTAACACTTACTAGCTGTGTGACCCTGGGCAAGTCACTTAACCCTAGTTGCTTCACCAAAAAGTAACTGAATAAATAAAATAAAAGCAAAAAGTGAATATTTTCTCACCCAAGTTCATGGACTCCATTGAAATCTACTTGTTGATCCCTTGGGAGTCCATGGACCTGAGGCTAAGAACCTCTCTATTGGATAATTTTCAAGGATCCTTCCATTTTAAGATTCCTGGATTCAGAATTATCCCCAGCTAACCTCCACAGAAATAGACTCATAGGGACATCTTGGGAGAAATGAGTACTAATGACTTTGTCATTATATCAACATAGTGTAGTAGCCATCTTTAAGGATGATGTGTTATTAATAATAATAGTACTTATATGTGCTTTAATGTTTTGTTGTGAGGATAAAATTAGATAATAATTGTAAAGTGCTTAGCACAGTCCTGACACATAGTAAGCACTATATAAATGTTAGCTATTATTTATCTCAGTTTATTCTCACAACAACCCTAGGAGATAGATGCTATGATTCCTGTTTTATAGAAGAGGAGGCTGAGGCAGATAGAAGTTAAAATAGCTTGTCTAGGGTCACAATGGTAGTGTCTATACTAGATTTGAACTCAATTTTTCCTGATTCCAAATCCAGTGTCCTAGTCCACTACCATATGGATCTACGATCTAATTAACATGAGCACTTTAACTGTTTAGACCATTTCTCACCTGTGCCTTCTCATCCTGTTTAATTCTAGTCCATGTCTTTCCTCAGAGTAGATCTCCCCAGAACTCTGAAGGCCTGAGCTCTTTTAATGAATTAATATTTATAAAGTATCTTGCAAATCTTAAAGTACTATGTAAATGCTCCTATTGTTGTTGTAGTATTTTTATGGACACTAGTGGTATTTTCCCTCTCTTGCTACACAACCACTCTACCACCTTTTCCCAGTATTTATCAGACTTTTTACTACTTCTCCCATATAATCATTGATAATATACTACACTACCTATACCCTCCATGTATCTTAAAACAATGTACTTGTCTTTTGAATTTCCACTATTCTTCATCCTATATCAGCCTAAACCACTATACACTGTATCCAGAATTGATATTGTTAGAGACCCTGACAAGAAATAAATAAAGCAAGATAGGTTCTTTAACTTACATAGCTGTAGAAATGGGGGAATTAGCAGGTCTGCAGAAATAGTTAAATAGAAGACAAAGAGATCTCCTTTTTTATTTACCAAGGGGCATAGTGGATAAAGAATATGATCCTGGAAAATGAATGTATGTTCATTTTAATAGGGTTGCATTATGTCTGAATGTTTGGCTGGGAATATTTAACAAAATAAATAAAAATACAGTAGAACATAGACAATGCTAATATATGGTTTTCCAAGTCAATCTGTGGCCCACAGGGATCATTATGGATGGCTAGTGGCTCCTGTTTCTATCTGACACCACCGATCTAGATACATATTCCTTAGCCAATATATGAATTATTTTTCTAGAGAAATAAAAATAACTATAGCAGTAGGACTTTTTTTATAAATACGATATGATGAATACATATTTGAATCAGAAAACAGGTTCAAATTCCATCTCTTGCTCAATGCCTGGGTGACCCAGGGCACTCACTTGACCTCTCATCTCTCAGTTGACTCATCTGCAAAATGAGGGGGTTGAAAGATACAGCCTCTAAGTTCCCTTCCGCTCCTGAATCCATGAGTTCGTGAATATCTCTTGTATGAGCCGAGGCCAGTCCTTTGGAAACAAAGATTACTTCATACCATGTTATCTGAGTTTAAAGGACATAGCTTGCCTTTCTGTTAACAACCAACAAACTAGCCTTTTTTTCAAGAAGTAAATTGTGCATAAAGATTTTGGAGGGAAATGTGTGCTAGATCAAAAGTGATGAAATAAATTTAACTTTTTTAAAAACCAAAGATTACATGTTGGAAAAGTGGTATAAACAGCCCAGCAAACTGTGCTGCATTCTCATTGTTTAATTCCTTAATATTTAGCGTTTTATGATGCTTTCACAATAATTATAAGAAAGCAGTATGGTTTAATGAAAAGGATACCGGATTTGTATTAGGAATCTTAGGATCACCTTATCATAGATTTAGAGTTGCAAGGGATCTTTAACACATACTCTTTTCCCCCATTTGACAGCTGAGAAAATGAGAGAAGCTAAGTGACTTATCATAACCAGGTTATACAGGTAGCAGTAAAGATTTGAACTCAGATCCTCCTATTCCAAAAATCCCTCACTCTTTCCACTGTATCATATTGCCTCCTGAAATTATAGGTCAGTTGTGGGCATGACTTTAACAAGGCATTTAATCTTTTGGGGTTTTAGTTTCCTCATCTCTGAAATTAAGAGGTTGGACTAAATAACCTTTGAGCTCTAAATATAGGATGCTATAAACTCCAAAATGGGAAAATTGCATTAGATGATCTCTAAGGTTTCCTTCAACTTTAAATCCTATTTTCTCAGATGCAGCTCACCGTTAACCTTTCGGTTATGGCTAAATTTGACTGCCCCCATTTTACAGGTGAGGAAACTGAGGCGCAAAGAGGTTAAGTGACTTGCAGTCACATAGCTGGTGACAACGCCAGAAATGGAAGCCAGATGTCTCCATTCGATAACCAGATAATGCAGTCCCTAACAGAATAAAATGTATGTGATACTACATAGTCCATGATGAAAACCTTCCATCCAAACTGTTCTAATCCTTCCAGGATATGTTTTGAATGGCATTACTAATGCCATTGAACAATCGGCTACTTAGTGATTTGTGAAGTCATTTAACTTACGTCCATGGGGTGTGTGCTGTTTTAGGTACTCCTTCCAAGATGAGGAGGACATGTTCATGGTGGTAGATCTCCTACTGGGTGGTGATCTGCGTTATCACCTGCAGCAAAATGTCCGCTTCCAAGAAGACACAGTGAAACTCTTCATCTGTGAGCTCTCCATGGCACTGGACTACCTCCAGAATCAACGCATCATCCATAGGTCAGTTGTGGGCATGGGTTTGGGGACTTATTTCAGGAAGGTGACATTCAGAGTTAGGAGGATCTGAGTATTGAGTTTGAACATCTATTAAGAGGCCATAGGATACCTGATGTTGGTGAGATACTACACCAAACTTAGCAATCCTGTTATCCTAGATGGCTTTCTACTAGGGCTTAGCAATATCAATAAATGCCACTGGCAGGCCTAAGGAACAGAGGAAGAAGTAAAGAAAGGAAGAAAGGGAAAGAAAATATAGACTGGAAAAAGGAAAGGGCATTCTTTAAAAAAAAAAAAAGGAAACCAGGGGCTGGTAGGTGGTGCAGTGGATGGAGCTCCAGTCTTGGAGTAAGGAGGATCTGAGTTCAAATCCATCCTCATACACTTGACACTTAACTAGCTGTGTGACCTTGGGCAAGTCACTTAACCCCAATTGCCTAACTAAAAAAAAAATATCCTGGATCTCATTTTGGGGCAGCTAGGTGGTGCAGTGGATAGAGCACCTGCCCTGAAGTCAGGAGGACCTGAGTTCAAATGCGACCTCAGACCAAACACTTGACACTTACTAGCTGTGTGACCCTGGGCAAATCACTTAACCCCAATTGCCTAAAAAAAAAAAGATACCACTTAAAATTATTCTAAAATTAAAGTATAGTCAGCATTTCATTTTTATAAAAGAGACAGAGATAGAGAAATAGGGGAGAAGGATATGGGGGGAGAGAGAGAAATTTATAAAGTTTTACAAAATACATTTTCAAGTTTTTGGAAAACAGATTAATCTGTATTTCATTTTGATAAAGAAGAAAGAATAAAGGAAGGGGACAAGGGGGGAAAGAAACTGTTAAGTTTTAAAAATACAATTAATGAGTTATTCTAAAACAGGAGAGTTTAATGTGTTTTTTATATTGATACAGGGAAAGGGGTAGAGAGAGAGGACAAAGGAGGAAAGAAGAATGAAGAGGTTTGTAAGTCAAGGAGGGGTAGAATGCTATCAGTGCTCTGAAGTGGCTACTTAAGTTAATCACTCATGCTTTATGCTACACAAATAAGCACAGGACAGGCAAGTCACATACAGATCCCAAACCAGTGTAGACAAGAAATAGTCTATTAAGCAGAATTAGCTAAAGATCTAATAATGACTCATTTATCTAGTGCTTTACCTATGTTCTCACTTGATCCTTACAACAGGCTGATGGGGTAGGGCACACAATTATCATTATGCCCATTTTGCAGATGAAGAACCTAGAGATCTGAGAGACTCGGTTACCTCACCGCTACTGAGTTCTGAAACAGAATTCTCACTCCCTTCTCAGCCTGACTGCAGAGCCAGTACCACACACGGCTTCCCCTAGAAAGTACTGAAATGAGTACATCATGTTGGGAAACACGAGTAGCTACATTGTTTCGTAAGGGACGTCCACAAACATGATGCCTTTGCTTTGATCATCTAGCATTTGATTGAACAGCGTTGAAGTACAATTTCTTTATCTCTTATGGTCGCCCAGTTTTTCCTTTTAAACAATTGTAAAACTGTGGTTTGACTACTTAAATAAAGTCAACAAAGGGCCCAGAATACTTAAATGATTACATATTATCATTCGAGACCACACTAATTTTATTCCGGTATAGAAAACCCCAGCCCTAAGAAATGGAGGCTTGCGCATTTGCTAAGCTAATCGATAGCAAAATGGGATTGAGAAAAGGCAACACTGTTATTTCTCACAACAACCCTGTGAAGTAGTTGAGGTGTTATAATACTCATATGATAGGTGGAGGAAACTGAGGCAGATAGGAGATTAAATAATTTGCCCACAATCACACAGGTACTGAGTGGCTGAGGCAGTTCTCAAACCCAGGCCAGACTCTCTCTCTAACCGATCCTCTTTCCACTAGTCTTCATTACTTTTCACCTTGGGGAATAGGAACTTTCATGCCTGGTATTATCACAATAGCTAGATAAGCCCCCTGATACTAACATCACCTTAAACCTGACCTCTTATTCTGGCTATGATTCTTCTGAATAGCAGTTGCTGGTTGAAAAACATTCTTTTTGTCAGGAAGGTCCTTTTAATCTCATAGAATTTGCCCCCACTGTCTTTTCTCTTATTCATCATCCCAAGAAAATTGCCAACTACCTTCTGGTGTTTTGGTTGCTGACAATGTAGAAATCGGGAAGACAAGTCATTATGTGAAGCTGGCAGTGCCTCAAAACACCTTTTAAATCTTTTTTTTTTCCTTTTCTTTGTAACACAGAACCTATTTTCATTTAAGTTCCATGTACATTCTCTCTTTCTTTCTCTGTCTCTTTCTCTCTGTCTCTCTTTCTCTCTCTGTATATATATATACATGCATACACCTACACAGATACACACATATATATGTACGTATATACATACACATCTATGTATACATGTATCATGTATGTATGTCCCTGACTTGGTTCTGTCCTTTTTTATCCCCCATCCTTCATACACCTCTGATCCTTTAACCCAGGCTGCTAATGGGTCAGAATGAGAGCCCAGTCCCAAGCTTTTGCACTGGCTGTCCCCCACCACTGGAGTACTCTGCCCTGTCACCTTTGTTTCCTAATTTCACTGGCTTCCTTTAAGGCTCAGCTCAAATCCCACCTTCTACAGGAGGCCTTTCCCGGTGCCTTACCTTCATCTACACTGTGTATATCTTGCATATACCTAGTTACTCACACGGTCTGTCCCTCCTTACAATGTAAACTTTTTGAGGGAAGGGACTGTGTTTGCCTTTCTTTATATGTATGGCTCTTATCAAAGTGCCTGACTTAATACTTGTTGACTGCAGAAACAAAGGAGTGAGTAATAGTTGGCGTTTTAAATCTTCATCCCTTCTCCATCCTTCATTTTATCAAAACTGTTGCTAATTTCCAACCCATTTGTATTGAACTTTCTTACAATGAAATAGTTCATGTCATTGGCTTGTGTGAGCAGACCTTTCTGCTAGGAACTATGGGGCAGGCGTGAAGAAAGGGGCCTGTCTATGGCCCCTGTCCTCAAGGAGCTTATGATACAGTACAGTAAGAGTAGGTTCCATTATCTGAGGTTGTGTATTTAATAAGTTGATCTGGGTTCTAGTTCCAGCTTTGCCACTGACAAAATTTCTCAGCATTTTATTTTGATCATCTGTGAAATGTAAGGGTTGATCCCCTCAAAGTCCTCATCTAGTTCTAAATCCTATCAGTTATATGTGGGAGAAAAGTTAAATGGATTGAAAAGAATATAGGGCCCACTAAACTGTACATAAGGATGCCTGTGGGTCACATATTGACTTGGAAAACCACACGTGTCATATATTTCTTTTTTTTAATTAATAAATCTACCCACTAAAATCAGATAGAAACTATGTTTTAATCTGCTTCTGGCTGCACTCCCAAGTGTTGTGAGCTGCCTGTTTGACACCTCTGCTATAAGGGTTCTGAAAAGAAAGAGATCAATTATGATTGAAGCAGTAGTAAAAGTGGCATGTCTTAGTAGAAAGAGGTTTGAGAATCAAAAGGCTTGGGATCTCATCCCATTTCTGCTGCTTACTGGGTGTATGCCCCTGGTCCTCTAATTTTATTTCTTTGGAACTCAGTTTTCTCATCTCGCAAAGTGGCAAAGTTGGAATAGATGTTCTCTAAAGTCCCTTCAAGCTTTAATAGCCTCTATTATATGTAAGTTAAACTCATTACAAGAGCGTCCCTCAAATCCATATCTTCCTTTCTTTAGTCTTTCTGCGGGCCGTGGTGAAGGGTAATGACTAATAAGTTCTGAATTTTTTCTGTTCTGTATTATTGTGAGATTCTTGTTCTTGCTTCTTGCTTCAGGATGTCCATTGAGTCAAAGCATTTCAAGGTTGGTCTTCAGTGAGTGTTGAGGAACGGCATGAATTTGCAATGTTTCCACCCGGACTTTCCTTTTTTTCTACTTTAATTCAGCGAATGCAGATGAAAATTTTAGAAAAAGTGTTTATTTGCTTTCACACACACACACACACACACACACACAACCCAACCCTTAAGAATCACAAAACGAATTACAATCAGTCCCTTGACAATACTCTTGCCTGATACGCAGATCACAGTGATCTCTCTGAAGAATGATTTTGGGGAAAACTAATTACCACCGTTAAACACTAATGGACAAATGTCTATTAGTGTCTTCATGTCCAATTTTGAGGAAACTCAATAAGTAATTTGGGTATATGGGATAAACTGTCAAACATTGTTAAGTGATGAGTCATCTTGTATCAAAGACACATCTCAATAGATGTTGGATACTTTCTTCCTCTCCAAGATACACTAGACACTAATAAAGTTTTAACTTTTTTTTCAATTCTTGTATGAACAATAAAATTTTATTAGGCAATTTATGCAAATAATTATAACAGTTGGCAACACTGTAGAAAGTTCATTTGAAATTGAAGCAAAAAATAAAAGGAATAGAACTGGGAAGTTTGAAGAAATAGAGTTAGTAACTTTAAAAAAAGAGTTTTCTGCCTTTTATATCACCCTTTTCTTCTGTGCAGCAATGAGATTGTGCTCATGGTGTTGTCACATTAACTCTGTCTAGGTTTTCTGAATGACACAAATAATGCCTCCTTCTGAGTGAGAAAAGAAATCGACCTCCGTCCTCTTCTCTACAACTTACCAATGCCAATGCAAATTGGCCTCTTCTCTGGAACTTATAGTCTTAGAGAATTGCTTAGAGCACTGAGAGGTTGAGTGTGTGGACTTGGTTGTCTAGAAAGACTCTTTATTGTTGCAGGATTAGCAAATTAATTAACTGGGATCTAATTTGTTATGATGACAGATGATTATTTGTTAGCTTAAGATAAAGCACTCTATATTCTTCCCCTTCCCCTCTTTGGATATTTGGTTCCCTTATTTTGCCCAGGCTAGAAGTGAACAGCCACTCCCAGGCCAAGCCCTACTACTGATTGGCACAGAAGCTTTGGTAGCCTGGTGACCCTCTACTCGTAGGGTCACATGAACT